CAACAGCCAACTCATCATTTCGTCCATGTGCTGTTGAATATATTTCACCACTGTCATTATGTAAAAGATCCTGACGTAAAGGTTTGGTGTCGTTATTCTCATTGGGAGGCCGAGTTGTTGTTGATAAGCCAAACAAAAAGTTTGTCCAATGTGGATAGGTTTTATTCGATTTCAACAGGTTATGCAAATGTATCCAATTTTGATCTTGATCATTTAATAACGTGAGGTTATGTCCGTAAGAATACTCATTATCAAATACTTGAATTCGTTCTAGTTGTTTCTTATTGTGATGTTGTTTATTATGTTCCATGAAGTATAAAGTGGATACTGCAGCAAGACTGAAAAATAATAAAAATGCATTATCAGTTTTCAGCTATATATTATAGTATTATTATTATTATTATTATTTTTATTTTAAGATAGTTCCAAATATACGATTATCATATTAGACTTTTATATGTCTGTAATGCATACTATCGAGTGACAGAACTTTAAGTTAGGTTAACTAATTATATTTGAAACTCAATAAAAAAAAGGATTAAACTTACCACGCAGCCATCACAATAACAAGGAAAAATATTATGATCTGGAGAACTCTATTAGAACATATTTCATAAGAGTCGGATAAATGTTTCTTCCCTGCCTTGTGTATTGGTACTGTATTTCTATCAATTTCCTTAGCGCGTATCAGTCTATTATTCATGCGCTCTAAATATTCAATACGCGTTTCTAAGGAACCTGTTACTTTACATAGCTCTTTAACAGCTCCAATATTTTCCATTAAAATACGGTCCTATATAAAAATCATAAAAATATTTTTATTTCTTTTAAATTTATATACTTTAAAATGTACCTTATTTACTAACAAAAAGTTTTCAATGACATTGCCATTAGGAAGCACAATGCTACCTGCCTCTTGTACTGCATCTGGTATTACCTCACGTACTTCCTGAGCAATCACTCCAGTATCAACAATTTCTTCAGTGTCACTTTCACTGGCACGCTTAAGACCAGAATGTATCGCAAACTCAGGCTCATAACGATATCGTACAATACGTATTTTTTGTAAATTCCTTAGTTGCACTGAAGTGTCCAGTTCACCGATTTCCTGTTTTGCACGACTATCACTAGGTTGAACTATATGGCCGGAAACTTTAAGATTACCATGCACAACGAGACTTTCATCTGGACGATCCGTATTAATGCCCACACGACCGGCATGAAAAATAGAATCTTGTGTTAATCCGCGTTGCCAACATAGATCAACATCAGATTCAAATTGGCCAGGATTTGATGCACGTACAATAATGCGTTCACTACCTTGACTAATGACAGGAAAGTTTCCAGATGCTGTATGTACATGCAGGCCAACAATTAGTTGAAAGTAACGTTGTTCAGGATTAGGACGGCCTTTTTTACGCATATTATTGTTAGTAGTCTCTGAGAAATGTAAACGGCCTACTGTAATTTTACTAACAATATGACTTTGGAGATCGATTCTATAAATAAAAAATTAGTATATAATAATTAAAAAAATATAAACATTTTTATAAATTATTATATACGTAAATATACTTACGGTACAGGATAGAATGGCTTTTTCGAACGATCGGATTGGCTTTGTTCAACACGTATTGTTTGATTGGGAGCCTCTAGTTTAACTCCATAGAAATGCAAATGGAAGGATTTTATTTTTTCAAGACCGGACGGTGTTTTCACAAATTTTGCTTCTCCTTGTAAGCGGGCATGGCAAGTTATTTGAAAATGATTTTTCTTCTGACATACAAAAGCATCATCAGATACCGAGAAGTTAAAACCTTTATCAGCATCTACTCTATAATACACCACAGAAATATCTTGTAAGCTTTGATCACACAGCTGATGCCAGTTTTGTGGTTGAAAAGGACTAAATCTTATGCAAGGTGTTAACGCACCTGCATCCCCATTTTCACCATTTGCGCTGGATGCATTTTTGTTTCCAATATTGCTGTCCAAGCTATTTTCTGCATTAGAGTTAATAGTTGACAGCGCTGGAGAAAGTGATGCGGAGGAATGTGCTGGCGTATTAATAACATCATTTCCATTATGAACTGGTAAGTGTATACTGACAGGAGATGTTGGCCCTATTTTTTGCGTGTCGCTAGCTAATGGCAGATGTGAACTACCGATGGGGCTTATTGCAAGCCCTGGATCAGGTTTGATGTTAGCATAATCGGGACAATCAATTTGTGTTGACATTTTTCGTTTACGTGACGATGACAAATGCACGGGTGTGGAAGGGGCCGATGATCTTGGTGTATGTGTAGCTTGACTGGTGCCAATTAGCTGCACGCGTGCTACTTCTCCCATAGAATCTGTACTTGTGGTCGTAAGCATACATGTTGTGGGTATTTGTGGTTCAATACTGGCAGCTATGTTACCAATATTTTGATAGAAGTTGTTATTTGACATTGTATCATAATGAATAATATTGTTCGTGTTCGTGTTGGGGCAAATCAGTTGGTTGTTGTTGTTATTGTTGCAGGGAATATGCATTAAACTATTTGGATTTATGATAAGGCCAGCCTCATGTTTGACCCGGACGCCATTGGCTATATCAAGTGGCGGTGCAGATGGCGCTACGGAACTGTTTAAGTGATGTTGTTGTAAACTATGTGTAAAACTATGTTGATTATGTTGATGCGGTGGTGCGAAAGGTGTCTGCATTTGCATTTCATGTAGTGTTGTTGGCTGATGGATACTTGTAGATCCATTATACAATTCGCGTGATGTTAACGTTAATCCATGCACATCCTGCAGTGGGCTATATGGAGGCTCAGAGCCTGAGTCTGGCGGACTTTCTGGCAAATGTGATATATTATGATTAACAAGTGCATTTGTTAAAGTAATAGGGGTGCTTGAAAGACTAACACGTGCAGAGAGCGTTGAAATGGGTAAATTTGTATCATTTAAAGTACTTGGGGGGGTTGTAGGTGTTTCAGGTTTCGGATCGCAGACTATGATATTTTCATTATTATTATTGTTGGTGTTACAGTTGTTTAATATATTATTGCTGTCTGTAGAGTCACCAAGATGACCAACAGCGGCTGACACTTGTATATATTGATCTATATTACCAAAGTCAAGCGCCTCATTGTCGATGCCACCTATAAAATCGGATCGACCTGTAAAATAAAAAAAAAATTTTTTTATTATATGTAACTTTATTAGATATGATTTAAAAGAATAAAAATTTAAAGATTGTTGTTATTGCATAAATCCTACTTTCAACTTTTTTATTTTTCTTAAATAGAAACCTAAGTTTATATATATAAAATATTATATTTAGGATAAGAGAGTTGTTGATGAATTAAAAAAACACATTCATCCACTAGCACACTCATTGGCTTTATATACTATCGACATCGACAGCCGAAAATATCAAACTGTGTTCACATTTCTGTTTAGTAGGGTTAAGCTATTCATCATGAATCGTGTAACGCTAGAATATATTTGTTTTCTAATTTCATAGAGCTCTTCATGCGTTTTACGGTCAACAGAAGTGGCCTAGTGAGCCAGCAATTCATGCAGTTATTGATCATTTTCGCACTAATTTAACTCTTCTCGATTCAAAACCATCAACAAGACTAAGATATGTGCGTACCGAAAAGAATATTGCTGCTGTAGCACCATTGGTTCTTATTTTTTACAAAATGAGAAGGAGCTGCCGTTACGGTAAATAGCGAGCGTTATCGGGTCATGCTGACTGAATTTTTGTTTCCAAAAATTAATCAGTTAAATATCGACGTCATTTGATTCCAACAAGAGGGCACAACTTGCCATACAGCTTAACAATCGATTTATTGTGACATCAATTTCGTAACAACTTTATTTTCAGAAGTGGTCTTGATAGCTGGCCTCCTTGTTCATACAATTTAACGCCCCTCGATTAGTTATTATGAGGTTATATTAGGTCATTGGTTTGGTTTATGCCGACAACCGATGAACTAGCAACTCTTGAAGTATTAGAAACCAATGTTCATGCCACCTTTGGCGCTATACGGTTATTGTAAAAAATAGCCAAAAATAGGACTGATCGAATGGACCATGTAATTCGTAGCCGTGGTGGACATATGCTGCATATTATATTCAAAAAATAAATGTCATGAAATTATTTATCAGACAACAATATTTTTGTCTTGTATTATCATGTTAAGTTCTTATGCAGTTAAAAAAACAGCCGATATTTGATGACCGTTTGCTTGCATGAGTTAAGTGAAGAGGTTATTTCGTCATATGAATTAAATTTAATAGAAATATTCATATGTAATGTTTGCAGTTTGGAAATTAAGTAACTTTAATCAATTTAAGATCGTATTGAGGTCTTATAAATTGCGGTTTAAAATTGTATTTCGTTGAAACATTAAATTATTTGAAAGTAAGGTCACTTTGGATGCTTTCATTGTCTGATATAATGATTTTAGTAAATGATGTTGAGGGTTCTAAGTTAATCACAACAATTTTTTTTTCTATTATATTATATATTTTATTATAAATATTATATTATAATATATAATTTTTAGTTATTATTTTTTTAAATTTCCTTCTAAAAATAATTTTTGCTTTGAACATTTTTCATAGTAATAATAT